GGGCGGCGGGGGAGGGGGCATCGATGGGCGATCGGAGGAGATCTGGGTGGGGATTTTGTTGATTGATTTGGGGAGGGGAGCAGGGAGGCGGTGCGGGTGGGGACTGCGGCTGCGGGGGCGGCGACGCGAGATAAGAGAGAGAGAGAGAGAGAGAGAGAGACCCGAGGCCTTTGCCGGATGGAACGCGTGAGCGTGAGGAGGGCCGCTTGGGCTTTTGCGGGGTTGTTCGGCTCTGCCCACGGGCACCGCACCGCACCGCCCTCCCTCGACCTAAGAAAAAGAAGAAGAAAACAAAATCTCCTCAGAAAGGTCTCTCAAAAGATAAAATACTCCCTCCGAGTAATTCCGAATAAAGAAAGTATTTGTTTAAATACATCCGTATCTAGACTATCTAGACATGTTTTGGCATTAGATGCATTCATATCTAGAAAAAATTATGACATGTAGGAGTAATTTGAAACGGAGGTAATAACATAAACCGAAAATTCAATGTACTGAGTTAACCGAAATTGTTTGTCTCTCTCTTCTGAAGAAAGAAAAATGCTATCGAGGGATGTGGATAGCACAAGGTAAGATAAGGAACACACAATCCGGAAAAATAGCAAGGAAACTCCTTGGTAAGAGCTGAAGTCGCACCAAAATCGTCTGAATTGGTCGTCCCCATTCTTCCCTTGTGCGAGGTAAATTTGTTTTGGCATTGACACTCTGGCCATGCATGTCTAACTCTGACAATGTATATCTAGAGATTTGTGGCGAGGTTTTATCTGTGTGTATCTAGTAGATGAATCCATTCATGATTCTACCAATGGAAAGCTGTGCTCGTGATCTCCAACCTGAGGCGTCGCCGGAGCTTTCGGCCAAGGGAGAACATACGAAAGTGCATTGTTTCTTCGATGGTATTCTCGTGTTGATGACAATGGGTGCTAGTGAGGACTAGTGTAGATGATCTGTGCTAAAGGTGTAATAGTTGGGGCTCCCTCGTATGTTGGTTTGTAGCAAGTGAGTAAACGTCTTCCCTTAATGATAAACCCAACAATCTATAGAGATGCAATAGTTGGATGTCTTTAACATCAATAAAACCCTCTTATGCCCTCAACAACACAATAAGGATGTCAATCATTGCTAGTCTTGCTAGTTGAACAAGCCTATTAAAAGATAATGTGTGATAAATATTTTTGGTATTTTCAAAATAAAATGAAAATGAAAATAAAACAATGTGTAAATATTTTTTAACACGGTACAGAGCATACGCTTATACATATGCATATACACCCAACCTTATGAACGCACGCACGCATATCCTGTCCATATGAGCACATCCGAGAGACCGAGCTGACACATTATCTTAGATTGACGAAGGGCCACAGACGCCTTCATAGTTGATTGGAACGTCTCTCCCACTAAACGCACATCACCAAAAAGTGAAATAAATTCAGAAAATGCGATCACCAATGTCAAGTCTAGAACTTGAACTCTGGTGGTAGAGGATACCACTGACATCTTAACCATCCAACCATAGCTCCGTTCACATGTATAAATGTTGTTGGATTGTGATTCTAATGATGGAAACTGAACTGAGGTTCACAGGTTCACCAAGTGTAACTCTCCAACGCATAAAACTGTGAATGTTAACTTTCTCATGTGTAAAAGTGCAATGGAAAACTCATGTTCATGTCAGACAAGTAAAGTCATGAGAAGATATATAGACAGTACATCCATAACACCAAAGATCGAGACCTTCGCATGCATCTTCAGCTAAATAACTCTTTCATAGACCGACACACTCCTTATCATTTGCACGTTAACTATAAACACGGGTAATTATATTTAGCACAATGACATACTGTTAAGACTAGAGGATTATTTATCCTCTACTAACCCTTAATCCTTAGTGGCCGGCAACAATTCTTGCAGGCCTTTTTCATTTTTTTGTCACTATGCAAGATTATCTGCAAGATTTGAACCTATCTAATGCATACCACTTCCATTATTGGCTACCGTTCTAAACTGGAAAAGTGTAGTCAAATAACTAGAAAAAAATATGCATCTATATACCTCTCCATCTCCTTCCTCGTTTTTCACCTCCAGCCACCATATCTGGATTGTACGCTCCAGATCCAACGGCTCCGGGCACCCCAGTTCATCTCCACTCCTGCAATCCATTAGCCCTCACCTAAGTATGTGTTGATTTGCAGATAACACGGAATTACACCGTGAAAGACCCACCAAACACTGCACTATAAAAAAGATAAAAACACACTCCATTATCTCCCCCACCCGCCAAACCAAATAGTCCCCCAGTTCCAATATAAGATGTATTTGTTTTCTGCTGAAAAGTCAAATTTCTTTAACTTTGATGAAGTTCAAAAATGGACATTCACAATACTAAACAAATAAATAGAAAAAACATTTCATGGTGAATCCAACGATACCAAATTGATTACAAGTAGGTCGAATAATGGGTTTGACTTTTCAAAAAACTAATACACCTTATATTTTAAAATTGAAGGAGTAACAAAATTACGAAAAAAATCAACACCACCACCAACAACAACACAGCAAAGCGCGACCAACCCTTCTAGTATGTTGTCTAACTAAGAGCTATACTTGAGTTGAGCTAAACTAGATTATTTATATTCTATCTTTTGAACAAAATGCAGGAATGGAACCAAACACAGAATGAGGTTCCACTACAGTTGACCATTTCGTTTAGGAACGAAGTGGAATGGAATGTCATGGTTCCATGGATAACCTCCGCCCCCTCAGCCGCAATCCCCCCTTTGACGTCTCTTTTCATTTCTCCGCCGAGCGATTCACGTCATTTTCCCTCTCTTGTAGATCCATGGCAGGAGGTGCTCAAGGACGTGGGGGCGCGGCGGTGAAAGCACAAGTGCTCCCTGGGTGGTTTTGGTAATTAATGTCAACATATCTTTTGTTGGACTAATACTTTTATCTAGTATATTTCAGATGAGTTCAACAGTGGAGTGGCGCGAACAAGAGGATATGGAACCCCTTCAAGATACTAAGGACAGAAGATTGGCAAAAGCTCAAAAGCTCAAGACTCGACATTTCATTTTAGTGACCCAAGATCACATTGAGTCCATAGGAAAGCCAATACTATTAAAAGGGATGAGGTATTGCTTAATGGCTTGCTTGCTCAAAGTGCTTAGTGATATGCTCCAAAACCCTCAACCACTTTCTCATTTCCACATATATCCCAAACCAAAAGACAAACTTGGCCCCACCGATTTGATCTATCCGGCGCCACCGAGTTTACTTGACGTAGCCACTGCCAGAAACCCTAATCAATTCGGTCTCACCGATGGGATCTCAGTCTCACCGAGATGGGCTTGCAAACTCTCTATTGCTTGTTGCAATAATTTCGGTCCCACCGAGATATGCAATCGGTCTCACCGAGTTTGCTTGACCAACTCTTTGCTTAGCTTATTGCCAAAATCGGTCCCACCGAGTTTGTTTAATCGGTCAAACCGGGATGAGGTTTTACCCTAACCCTAGCACATCGGTCCCACCGAGTTGATCATATCGGCCCACCAAAAATCCTAACGTTCACATTTTGAACTAAATCGGTCTGACCGAGTTTCTCAATTCGGTCCCACCGAGTTTGGTAAATTGTGTGTAACGGCTAGATTTTGTGCGGAGGCTATATATACCCCTTCACCCACTCTTCATTCGAGGAGAGAGCCATGAGAACATGCCTACACTTTCACCACTCATTTTCTGAGAGAGAACCACCTACTCATGTGTTGAGACCAAGATATTCCATTCCAACCTATGACGCCCTTGATTCAATCGTACACTAATCATACACGCAAATGTGTACGATCAAGATCAAGGACTCACGGGAAGATATCACAACACAACTCTAGGCACAAATTAAAATAATACAAGCTTTATATTACAAGCCAGGGGCCTCGAGGGCTCGAATATATAAGCTTGAATACACAAGATTCAGCGGAAGCAACAATATCTGAGTACAGACATGAGTTAAACAAGTTTGCCTTAAGAAGGCTAGCACAAAAACAACATTGATCGAAAAGGCAAGGCCTCCTGCCTGGGAGCCTCCTAACTACTCCAAGTCGTCAGCGGCCGTCACGTAGTAGTAGGCATCCTCGGGGTAGCAGTAGTCATCAGTGGTGTCGTCTGGCTCCTGGGATCCATCATCTGGTCGCAACAATCGGGTATGGGGGAAAAGAGGTAGCAAAGCAGCCGTGAGTACTCATCCAAAGTACCCGCAAGACTTACATCGGATCTAAACTAAGTATGCATATGTATCAAAGGAAATGGGTTGTATTTGTGGACTAAACTGCAGAATTCCAGAAGGAAGGGGAAAGCCTAGCCTATCGAAGACTAGCATCTTCAAGCATCTT